TACTTTCTTGTTCCTGCCCTCCAAGCCTACTTTCCCCCCTCTCTTCCTTGCCCCCTCCATCTTGGCCTGACTGTGATGGTAAGTAGAGCTTAACTGCAGGCTGACTGTAGGCTTGAGAGACCTGATGGTTTTTAATCAGTTGGAAAAGTCATTGCACTCATCAGCTGTATTGACAGTTGAAGAGTGCAATAAATTGTGCAAGTGTACAGTATGATAACGTTGGTATATGTGCATACCTGTGAATCATTAGAGCCAGAGGAAAAGAATCAAGAAACCTTAGGAAGGAAAAAATAAATTCAACTACATACAACTCAGAAATACAAGCAAAACCTCTATAAAAAAAAGTCAAAAAGACAGATTGACAAACTGGAGAAAATAATTGCAATTTAATTAAAGACAAGAACTAGTTTCTCTAATTTTCAAAAAGTCCATCTAAGTATTAAAAGACAGTGATCCACAAAGGAAGAAATGGAAAAGAAAATAAGCGTTACTGGGAAGGACTTTGTGCACATGGACAAAGCTTTAAACCTCACTCTAACAGACAAGCAGCTAAGCTGCCCTGAACTACCCCTGCCCTGGGCTGCTGCTGCTCCGCCTCTTGCATGTTGATATAGAAAAGAATTCTGGTGTGAAGAGGTGGAGTTAACGGGCGGTTTTGTGTGTAATTAGTTTATTGATTAATCTCAGTTTGGCTGAGTCACAAATGAAGCAGTTATGTTTCTCTCATCTTTGCTCCTAGCTGGGCTCTCAGTAACCTCCAGGGAGCTGAGCTCTTCACATCATCTGAGGCAGGTATTGCAGCTTTTCCCACCGTCCAGTTTAACGTCCAGATGTCTTGCCTGGGTCTGGGCTCTGTTCTGCGCTGCCTCGCCAGGATTTTTGGGCCAGCAGATAGCCATGGTGGTTAATCAAGTCCCAGACCTGGCATCTTGATTTCTCACTTTCTCTCTCTCTCTGGTCAAATTAAGAAAAAATAATAATGGTAAATGAAATTAAGTAAATAATTCTTTTTTAAAAAATTTAGGATTTTCTCTGTTTCTCAAAGAAATGTGAAAAGCAAGAAACCCTGCACGCGAGCAAGCGCTTTCCTGTGGGCCCTCAGCCTTGCTTGACATCTCCGTGATGTCTTTCAGACATCCTGTCACCGAGATACTGAGACGCATGTAGTGGCTTGTAATGAAAAGGCTGGTTGTTTGCTCTGCTCTTTGTAGGGTGGGATTGGGGACTGGCCTGTCCTTCCTGGATGCCGTGTCAGCCTGCAGAGGTCAGAAGACTGGATCTCTTATTAATCGGGACAATAAACTATTTCTGACAGTAAGAGAAGTGGAAGCGCTGACCTCATGTTGGGACTGAAAGAGCCTCTTTCACCCATGGTCAGGGCTGCCCCTGCCCTGCTCGCCTGGGGGCCTTATCCCTCTAGGAAGTAGGCCCCGACTTAGGCTTTGTTGTGTTTGTGTGTGAAAATAGATGAAGAGAGGCACAGAAGGAAAAGAAAAGGCGAAGCCAAACTCGCCATGCTCAAAACCAACTCTAAAATAATATAATACTACCCCCACCCCCTGCCCCTGCCCCTGCCCCCACCAAGGTATGGGAAGACGGCGTTCACCGTCAGGAGTGGGTGCTTTTCATAGGCGGGTTGAAATGTAATTCTGGTGTGAAGAGGTGGAGTTAACGGGCGGTTTTGTGTGTAATTAGTTTATTGATTAATCTCAGTTTGGCTGAGTCACAAATGAAGCAGTTATGTTTCTCTCATCTTTGCTCCTAGCTGGGCTCTCAGTAACCTCCAGGGAGCTGAGCTCTTCACATCATCTGAGGCAGGTATTGCAGCTTTTCCCACCGTCCAGTTTAACGTCCAGATGTCTTGCCTGGGTCTGGGCTCTGTTCTGCGCTGCCTCGCCAGGATTTTTGGGCCAGCAGATAGCCATGGTGGTTAATCAAGTCCCAGACCTGGCATCTTGATTTCTCACTTTCTCTCTCTCTCTGGTCAAATTAAGAAAAAATAATAATGGTAAATGAAATTAAGTAAATAATTCTTTTTTAAAAAATTTAGGATTTTCTCTGTTTCTCAAAGAAATGTGAAAAGCAAGAAACCCTGCATGCGAGCGCTTTCCTGTGGGCCCTCAGCCTTGCTTGACATCTCCGTGATGTCTTTCAGACATCCTGTCACCGAGATACTGAGACGCATGTAGTGGCTTGTAATGAAAAGGCTGGTTGTTTGCTCTGCTCTTTGTAGGGTGGGATTGGGGACTGGCCTGTCCTTCCTGGATGCCGTGTCAGCCTGCAGAGGTCAGAAGACTGGATCTCTTATTAATCGGGACAATAAACTATTTCTGACAGTAAGAGAAGTGGAAGCGCTGACCTCATGTTGGGACTGAAAGAGCCTCTTTCACCCATGGTCAGGGCTGCCCCTGCCCTGCTCGCCTGGGGGCCTTATCCCTCTAGGAAGTAGGCCCCGACTTAGGCTTTGTTGTGTTTGTGTGTGAAAATAGATGAAGAGAGGCACAGAAGGAAAAGAAAAGGCGAAGCCAAACTCGCCATGCTCAAAACCAACTCTAAAATAATATAAAATGCTTGGAAGTGGGCAGAATCTCAGGCAGGGAGCGCACAGGATGCTACTTAAAAGGGCAAGGACCAGCAGGTGGCACAGTGGTTAAAGTGCTGGTTCTCACATGGCTGACTGCAGTTCGAGTCCCAGACCCAGTGACTTGAAAATCACACTGGGCACATGTGCATGTGTGCCCAATCATAAGAGCAGAATGGAAGAGAAAGGATTGTGTCATGGTCATACTCCCCGGGGGGTGATTTCTCATGTTCCCTCTCTGTCTGTCTCTGACACACTCTGGCAGGTGCACGGGCCCTATGACCCCCCCCCAAAAAAAAACTAAACTAAAAATAAATAAAAGCCGGTGCAAAGCAGTTTTCCCATTTTGCAGTTGAAAGAAGTGAGGCTTTGTCCCGAGGTCCCAAGGCAGGCGGCAGAGCAGCGGGCCCTGGGCCCCAGCCTTCTACCTCATCCCAATTAATGGCGGTTCCCCAGACCATGATGACTTGCCATCCTTCTCTGGGACTGCAGGGAGCTGGTGCCCATTTCCATAAAGCTCCAGCAAAAGACACTGTGCTCCCATGTGGGTGAGGCTGGTGTGTCTCAGGCCGTTGTGAGTGGGGGGAGCAATGAGGGCAGGGTCCTCCAAGGAGGCTGTTTGGGCTCTCTGCTCTCCACCATGGTACGGGAGGGAAGCAGAGCACAGGCAGGGATCCGGGTACTTCGGTGGCCTCCTCTGATGAGTGTGTTACCATGAGTTGGCTTCTCCCACCTCTCTTCACTGTTCTCAGAATATTTGGGGGAGTGCCGTTCCCTTTTTATGGTTCATTTCTAGTGACTGCACAGGAAGGAAGTTTTGTTGCAGGTGGAAAGATTCCGTGGTCCTTACGTGCTTCCCTTTTGCTAAAGCGGTCTGCCGCCATCCACGCAGCTACTTCCTCCATGTGAGATACTTAGGATCCTGCCTCTGAAGTTCAAAGAGCCTGGAGGCCCGAGGCAGAGGACAGCACTGCGGTGCCCCCCTTAGCACCCTGGCCTCAGAGTGCGCTGTAGCGTGGGGGAAGGCTCCTTTCCAAAAGATTTGTTCCTGTCCGTTCTTAATCGTTTTTGTGTAAATGTATATTTAGTACATTTAGAGTAGAGATCGGGCCAGGTCCGAGGCTAATGTATAATTTACAGGAGTCCTAGCCAAAATGTTCACAGTGCTTACATTTTATAGCTGCAAATGTCCTGCTATAAAGTGTCTCCTTTTTCAAAGGCAATGAAAACAAGGAGTGGTATAAGAAGACCTTTTTAAAATGCACATAATCAGTTCTGTTTATAACTGACAAGGAACCAGTAAGGGACATAAGATGGTAGCTGCCCTCTGGGTGTATGAGAGGACTGGGGTCCAGAAAAGAAATTCAGGTGGGGTCTTACAAAGAATGTGCCTGAGGCAGACAGAAGCCCATTGCCCTGACTTCAAGGACCACCTTTCCCATAGTTCTGCCTCTCTCAGGAGCAGCCAGTGCTGAAATCAGATTCTTACACGGTGTCTACAGATAAGAGGGATGGGGTTTTTGGCAAACACTTGTTCCCAAACCCTTAGTAAAGGGTATCCTTTTCTTTTTTTCTAAGAGAGATTTTCCTATAGAGCACAGGACCTTGCCAGAGAGACAGAAAGCAATAAATCACCTCCCAGGGGGTTTGGCCACCTGCAATCCCTTCTTCATTCTCTCAGGATCTTGGGCACAGCACGCACACACACCCAGCCTGAGGTTTAAGGCGCCAGTTCTGGGACTTGAACCGCAGTCGACTACATGTGAGTCCAGGGATGTAATCATTACGCCATCTGCCGGTTCCAGTAAAGTATCTTTTACAAGCTCGGCATTCACTGTTAGCTTGTCTGTTTCTGTTACGTTGTGCGAACCTACAGCACATGTGTGTGGACGTGCAGCAGGAACTACCATGTCCAGGGCAATTGCCTGCCCTTGCCTCTGCCCCGAACTCTCCAAAGGGCCCTTCACCTCTCCTGAGGAATTCAGAGAGCAGTACCCACTCCTCTCACTGTGCCTGTTGTTGAATCCACAGCAGTGAACCAGATAGATTTAGTACAAGAGATTAAGTAGTCATACTTTTAAAGATAAAGTATGCATCTCTTCTGCTCCCAGCTGTGTGTTGCATTTATCTGCTGTCTTGCAAAACTGTGTGGAAACAGCAAACACCTAACTGATAACGTGTACTTTTCAAACTCCCTCAAGTTGACTGACACCTCCCAGTGAGAAATGTAGTTTCTTTCTTTAAAAAAAGAAAAAGAAAGGAAATTTAACTATGAATACCATGGAACTTAAAACTGAAGTGTCAGCCACAATGTCAATATGCTTCAGAGGGTCACCCGGTTTCTTGTCTTTGAACTGCTGGCTCAGGCAGCCTGCTAGCCTGACGCTCACTGGCTTTTCTCTCTCCCTTCTTTCTGAAGGTTCGCCATCGGTGGTGTGAACTCATCATTAAGCACAAGTATGCAAGAGCATACAAAGACGTGGAGAGATTCCTTCAGGAGGATCAGGTGGGTTCTTTTTTGTTTTGTTTTTTAGTAGAAGAGGATTGTTTAAATGCTGCCACCTACCTGTTCGTACATGTCACACAGGACCTAAGTTCTTGCTATGTGTTTTCATAACATGTGTATGACTGTTGTCTGAAGGTTTTTAAGCACCAGGTAGGAGCTTACCTATTGCTTGCACTTCTGAGGAGATCTTCCCCCTCTCTGGGTGTCCCTTTAAAAGCAGTAAGGCAACACCTTTGAAGCTCCCTGGCTGTGCTGGGCCCGGGACTACTAGATCATCTCATGCAGTGCTCAGATTTCATGGCAGCTCCAGACTCTCTCAGGCCAAGGCGGTGGCTTTGTGATGCCATGGTGGACACGTACCCAGGTTTTCAGTGGCCCTGGTTTAAAGTATGTTTGCAGGGTCGACTGGAAGAGCAGCCTGGCTGCAGCCTCTCAGTCTGTGTCTGCATTTACCATGCCAGTTCTGGTCTCTGTCCTGTAAGAACTTCCCTCACTGTTTACCAGGGAAAGGCATTGAAGTGCAAGAAGCCACAGGAATGCACGTGTGTATAGAACCTACGAAGGGACTTTAAATAGGCCATAAAAAAAATGGAATTAAAGTACAACATTATTTTGGTACCAAAAAAAATGGAAATCCATACAGTTTTTTCATGCATTTTCCATGACCTTTTGGAAAGGTCCTTTCTCCTCATGACCCTTCACATTTGGAGATGTCCTCACTAGCTGCCTCTGAAGTCTGCAGTGCTTGGGGTGCCTCCCATGCCACGCCCTTCTGCGCCACCACACGCCTCCCCACCAGCTGGCACTGCAGCTGAGCACTGTGGGCTGGCCGAGTAGAGCTGCACTTTGGTGGGCTGGAGTGGGAGTGGGACAGACAAAGGGACTTTTGATGGGGTCTAGGCGTGGGGACAGTCAGCGAGTAAGGGCCTGTGATTCCCACAAAGAAAAGCACATGACTTTGTTCCAGCAGAAATGTCACATTTGCACAGTGGAGCAAGAGGTGTTTGGAAAAGCAGATGGGAATATAAGGAGGACATAATGTAAGTGCAACTTCAGGTCCGTTTTGGAGAATTCACTGCTGTGTATTTAGAACCATGATCTTTGCTAGTAAGGATGACTGCGTCTCAGCTTTTTCAGGGAAGTACTTATGAACTCTTAGCTACCAAGTTTTCGTCTTGTGCTGTCTTTGAGATCCTTCTTTTAATTAGCTCCACAGAACCTAATCCATGGCATAACTAAGCTTAGAATAAGAGAGCAGGCAGAACCAAAAGGGGACCTTTGGTCTTCCAGAGCAGAGTTGGCTATTTAGAAAGTGTAGAAGTGCAGGTGTGAGTCTGCAGCCTTGCTCTCAGACAGGAAAGCCCGCATCCGCTGTAGTTGAGGGTGCAGGAGCAGGCATCTGCCCGTGTGCAGGAGTGGGCTGCCATTTGGTGGGCCTTTTCTGCCTAGTAGGGGATGGGAGCAATATATATGACCACAGGCCAACTACTCCTAGAGAAGCCCCTTCCTGGGAAGGAGTCCCGGGTTTGTGTAGCACAGTGCCTGGGAGTGCCTTCAGCGCCCAAGTTTCCCATGGTCCAGAACATTCCTGACGCAGTCGTCACTGTGGAAATGACTCGTCACTCTGTCGCCAGCCTGTCGGTGGAATCGGTAGTGAAGAATTCCTAGGGGTTTTAATGAGAACGAGGCAGAGAAAGGGATTGAAAACTGCAGATTCCAGAAGAACTACGCAACTGTTCGTGTCTTTTCAAAGGTCTTTATAATCTCTAGCCAGCGAGTTTGTGAAGTTGATCACAAACTGTGTTCTTGCGCATGAGTGTGTGCTTTCCTAACGCACTCTGGCCTCTGTGTTCCGCAGGCCATGGGCATATACCTCTACGGGGAACTGATGGTAAGCGAGGACGCCAGGCAGCAGCAGCTTGCCCGCAAGTGCTTCGAGCTGGCCAAGGAGCAGATGGATAGAGCCTCCGCCGAGGTGGTGGCTGAAATGCTCTTCTAAAAGGTGATTCTTCCCTTCTCTTTTCTCTGTTGCTTGGTTCTAAGCAAGTATTCCTCTTAAAGAACCAGAGATTAATAAGCCCCACATGATGAGCCAAGATCACCCACAGCATCTGTGGTCTGCTCCTGCTTTGGGCGGCTGGTGTTGTTCATGGGAGGGCCCAGGGTCCCTGGAGCACCTCAGCTGGCCAGAGTGGTCACCGGAACATCGAGGCCGTCTACTTGAAGGCAGGATGGTTCCTTGGCGCCGTGTCGTGTGGCTGCCTTTGCTCCTACCGTTTACAGATTGTGAGGGGAGCCCACTGAGTAGGTTTAGAAATAGACGGGGAAGCCCAGCTCAAGTACTGCCAGTCCTCAAGGTCACGGTGAACGGCATTACTGCACCAAGGAGCAGGTGGCTGCATTACTCCAAATCCTCCCCACAGGCTGTGTGTGAACATGAGGGCCCTTGGGTGACCTGTGGGTGAGCGTACCTCACTGGCACACTCAGTGACTGTCTCTTGACAGCAGGTCTTTTTTTTTTTATTAAAAAAAAACAAAAAAACAAAAACAAAACCTCATGTTCGAACAGAACTCCTTCACTAGTATGTTGGAATGAGAGTCCTAGTTTATTCAAATTGCTTCCTTGTTTATCGTGCCTAGAATTGACCCATTAGATTTATTTTCTAGTGATTCATTTTTAAACAGGGGTGTTGCATTATTGAGGTAATTTAACAACGGTACATAAAGTTTTGTAAGTAGATCTGTGCAGTTATAAGTGCATTTTACTTTCCTCTAACAATCATTTTCATTTCTGTGTCTTCTCAATTTTTCTTCAAGGTTTTACATATTAGGGCATGTCTAATATTGTATCTCTTTCTTTAACATCAAATCTCAAGCATTTTTTATATGGTTCCATATCTTCTCTATAAATATTTTATTATGGATTTTTAATATTTTGTGTTGATATCCTTTCCTCATTGTTAGACATTTTGTTTGCTTCTAATGTTTTGTCCTTATAGAAACCATTCGTTGTTTAATATACTTAAGTATATTATTTAGCTGAAAAAGAACTCGTGATGCTGAAGAGAAAAAGATTATTTCTGGAGCGACAGCAGGTGGCATGGTGGTTAAAGTGCTGGACACTCCCACATGGCCAACCATGGTTCAAATTCTGGACCTGTTGGCTTGCTTTCTCACTTTCCCTCTCTCTCTCTGGTCAAATTAAAATAAATTAGCGAATAAATAAAATTAAATAATTCTTCTTTTAGAAAGATTATTTCTAAAGCAGTCTTCCCAGAGAGTTGGAGCCACACTTGCCAGGAGAAGGCAATAGCGAGCACAGCAGCAGCACGTGCAGCTTGCGTGTGCCGTGTGTCAGGCATGTGGGGACCCACCCCAGACTCTCCTGAGGAAGTGTCAGATAGGCTCAGAGACAGGCCAGTATGGAAAACAGAAAGTGTTGCAGTTGTTTTGTTGACACTGCCTGCAGGAATCAGCAACTCACGTTTCTCCTTAGATTTTAAATTCATGGAGAGTTTGTGTTACTTGAAGTGTATGAAACTACAGTTAGGCCAACTAGTCCCTTGGTCATTCTCTTTGTTCTAAATTTCGGAGCCAGATCCCCTAGTTCCCAGGACTCTTTATCATGATTTTTTTTTGCCACTAAGCAGGCGAAGGAATCTTCTCAGTGGAGAATCTGCCATTCCTCGCCTCCCTTCTGACATCTCCCTTGTCCCTGCCTTCTGGATGCATACACAGGCCACAGGCAGGCCCCTTCCGGCACCCCACAGTAACAGTGGCAAGAACTGCTTTCAAGGTGCACTTCCCAGCAGACAAACCTTCCCAACCTGAGAGGTTCCCAAAGAGGTCCCAGACCCTTTAGGGAAGGGATCTTGTCCCAAAGGGTTAAAGGCAGTAGGACTAACCGCAAGGACGGCCTTCTTCGGTAAGCCTGTCACAGAACAGGTCAGTGCAGTTTTTCACCTCTTGTTCCAAACGTGCACTGACATATTTATGGTTGTCTCTGAGGCCTTTTGATTCAAAAAGTGACACCTCTAGGACACCAGCTAACTGAACAGGACAGAACTCCAACCACTTGCTAGTGCGGCAGGCGTGCAGGTGGCATTCTGGCCTTGCGTTCCGGAGCTGTTGTGTGCGGATGGGAGTGGCAGGGCATGTCCTCACTCTCCAGTGCTCTGGCTGCTTGGGTTCCTGGCATGCTGATTTGTGACTTAAGATTAAAATCACATTGCCAGGGATTACCACGCAACCATGACCTTGGCTGCTCCTCCAGAAACCATAGTTCCTCTCTCTCTGCAGTTTGGAAAGCAGATGCATCTTATAGCTCTTCTCTGGTAACAGAAGCCAACAGCTGCGGAAGATCCTCACCAGCGCTTATGTTATCCCAGCGATGACCTCTCTAACAAGGTGCAGAGCTTAGCTGATTGGTGAACAGTGATTGGTTTCCGCTTTGTTCACAGTGGCTAAGTTCTGCACCTGAAGAGAAGGTGAGATGGGGACAGTTAAGTTGGAGCTGCCGGGCAGAGGCCGTTGCAGATGAGAATGGCCACTGCTGAGCGCTCAGCTCAGATGTGGAGCATGACTCAAGAGGATGAGAGACCAACGTGGCCTCGAGGATGCACTGTCTCCTGTCAAGAATGCAAGCAACATACCAGCAGTCCTTAAATATGTCTATGAAAATATAAATCCAGTAAATAGACAGTAAATTTGAAAGGACAAATGTATTGAAAGTTGCAAAAATTATCGTGATAAGAGACTGAAGCCACAGAAGTAAACACCAGGTCATGACTGATTGTATGTGGGTAGGGCAGGTGCTTCCATATGAGGCTCCTTGTCCTTGCCTGAGCGTGTGAATTCTCTCTTGTATTTGTAGTCTAGGTCTCTGTGTCTTCTGCAGCCACCTGCGGGATGATGCTGCGAGAAGCTCCCAGCCCAGACACTGCTTTTCCGGCTGTCGATTGGACCCGCCCTCCGGTGCCTACTGAGCTGATATCAGTTCTCATTTTACACACTGGCTCTGTAAGTGCCCGTGATCCCATGAGCCGGGACTCCTGACTCACAGGAAGACAGGCGTGAGCGCCCACCACCAACCCTGGCGGCCAGCGGCAGTGGTGTCCACCTGTATGTGCTCCTGAGGTCTGGGGGGTTGTAGAATCACAGTTCTCTACTGACGCAAAGGAGCAAGGGCCACTCTCACGGGGAAGGATGCACCACGAGCGCGGAAGCATGGTGTCAGCCCCATGCACGTCACGGAGGCAGGACCTGTCTTCTCATCGTATGGAGCTTAGACTTTCTAAAAGCGATGAGTGAGCCTGGGTCAGACACGGGGTCTTTCTAGTGTCGGCCTTGTAAACAAAGCCTGAACTACCAAGCCCACTGGGTTTCCTAGCCAGGTGTCAGAAAGCTGATGTCACCTAGTTCCATGTGATCCCCGTTTCCCAGGGGGTGAGAGGTGGCCCGGTTCTTGTCCGTGTCCTCTGAGAAAAGTCCTCTCTCCAAAGTGGAGAGGAAAGGCACACAAAGGTACTCGTTTACGAGAACTCCTCCATTGTGCCTGGGTAGTAAACTTTATTGCTGTTTCCTTTGCAGGAAAGATCACAGCGAGATTCTCTTTCATACGTCGTCTCCTCCTAGCCCTGGTGGGAGCAGGCCCGTGTGGATCCAGGACATCAAAGGGCAGATTATGTGGCTGCAAAGCCGTCGCCGACAGCACGGCTCACATCTTGGTGCTTCTCCTTCTCAGAGGCTGGTCTCTTCTGGGCCCTGTAAAAGGCAGCACGTCATAAACACTGTCTCCCACACAAGGGCCGTGGGCTGCCTTTGCCCCTCCTGGACATGCCGCCTTGCACTGTGGTCTGCAGTGCAGCTCTTCTGCGTTCCTCCGTACGGGCCAGTCGGGACTGCTGAGAGATGGTGAAGAAAGCCACCTGGACAGCTGCATGTGGACGTGTCTGCCACTGCAGAAAGTCTCAGGGCTTCTCTGATACTGGCACCAGTGAGCACCTGCTGGTGTCCTCATCCAGAATATTCTGCAGAATTATTTTGACTTTGTCCAATATTTAGATTTTTCCCCAAAACTTTAGTACCTGTTTCTAAATGTGTAAGAGAACCTAAGATATATTAATAAAATAGAATGAATTTGGAGTTTTTTGTTCCTGTTTCTACCAAATTTGATGCTGTGTGAAAGTAAGAGGGACTAGGTGGTGGCACAGAGTAAAGGGATGCCCTGTGAGGCTGGCCCACCTGGGAGGGTCCTGGGTTTGCGTCTAGAGACCTCCCTGAGTATCCAGGCACACAGGTGTCTTGACCTGGGGCTGGCTGGGGTGAACGGGGGGTGTCAAGGCCCTGTGGAAGGTGCTGTTTCTCTGGGCTGCCTACCTGCCTTTTGCTCATGGAAGAAATAAACATGGCACAGTAAACAAAAATAAGAAAAAGGTGTCCTCCACATTCTGGTGTTTCTTTCATACCTCACAAGTGTCCTTGTTTTCCAGGTAGTGCAGCAGGAACAGGAGTCGAGCCCTTGAGCAAAAAGCCTTCCCGTCTGTAAGTGCCCGTGATCCCATGAGCCGGGACTCCTGACTCACAGGAAGACAGGCGTGAGCGCCCACCACCAACCCTGGCGGCCAGCGGCAGTGGTGTCCACCTGTATGTGCTCCTGAGGTCTGGGGGGTTGTAGAATCACAGTTCTCTACCGACGCAAAGGAGCAAGGGCCACTCTCACGGGGAAGGATGCACCACGAGCGCGGAAGCATGGTGTCAGCCCCATGCACGTCACGGAGGCAGGACCTGTCTTCTCATCGTATGGAGCTTAGACTTTCTAAAAGCGATGAGTGAGCCTGGGTCAGACACGGGGTCTTTCTAGTGTCGGCCTTGTAAACAAAGCCTGAACTACCAAGCCCACTGGGTTTCCTAGCCAGGTGTCAGAAAGCTGATGTCACCTAGTTCCATGTGATCCCCGTTTCCCAGGGGGTGAGAGGTGGCCCGGTTCTTGTCCGTGTCCTCTGAGAAAAGTCCTCTCTCCAAAGTGGAGAGGAAAGGCACACAAAGGTACTCGTTTACGAGAACTCCTCCATTGTGCCTGGGTAGTAAACTTTATTGCTGTTTCCTTTGCAGGAAAGATCACAGCGAGATTCTCTTTCATACGTCGTCTCCTCCTAGCCCTGGTGGGAGCAGGCCCGTGTGGATCCAGGACATCAAAGGGCAGATTATGTGGCTGCAAAGCCGTCGCCGACAGCACGGCTCACATCTTGGTGCTTCTCCTTCTCAGAGGCTGGTCTCTTCTGGGCCCTGTAAAAGGCAGCACGTCATAAACACTGTCTCCCACACAAGGGCCGTGGGCTGCCTTTGCCCCTCCTGGACATGCCGCCTTGCACTGTGGTCTGCAGTGCAGCTCTTCTGCGTTCCTCCGTACGGGCCAGTCGGGACTGCTGAGAGATGGTGAAGAAAGCCACCTGGACAGCTGCATGTGGACGTGTCTGCCACTGCAGAAAGTCTCAGGGCTTCTCTGATACTGGCACCAGTGAGCACCTGCTGGTGTCCTCATCCAGAATATTCTGCAGAATTATTTTGACTTTGTCCAATATTTAGATTTTTCCCCAAAACTTTAGTACCTGTTTCTAAATGTGTAAGAGAACCTAAGATATATTAATAAAATAGAATGAATTTGGAGTTTTTTGTTCCTGTTTCTACCAAATTTGATGCTGTGTGAAAGTAAGAGGGACTAGGTGGTGGCACAGAGTAAAGGGATGCCCTGTGAGGCTGGCCCACCTGGGAGGGTCCTGGGTTTGCGTCTAGAGACCTCCCTGAGTATCCAGGCACACAGGTGTCTTGACCTGGGGCTGGCTGGGGTGAACGGGGGGTGTCAAGGCCCTGTGGAAGGTGCTGTTTCTCTGGGCTGCCTACCTGCCTTTTGCTCATGGAAGAAATAAACATGGCACAGTAAACAAAAATAAGAAAAAGGTGTCCTCCACATTCTGGTGTTTCTTTCATACCTCACAAGTGTCCTTGTTTTCCAGGTAGTGTGTTTGTTAGAATCCTGAAAGTAACAGGCATCAGTCTGGTGTGAGATGCTGTCCCTCTGCTTAAATGCAGGCCCTCAGGCACATGCAGGCCACAGGGGAGTCTTGGTGGATGTAATTTTTTTTCCTGCAAATGGTGTCTAACAGTGGAAAAGGCTTCCTAGTCCAGCACAGACTCATCATTCTGGCTGAGTTCAGAATGCCGGGGAGACCTTGGAATGGGCGCCACCACGTGGTTCTGTGTGAGGCTGAGCTGAGTGGGGAGAAACCTGCTGGCTCTGGGAGCTCTTTGTCTTCTGGCCCACTTGGAGTGAGGTGAGGCCCTGGCAGGTACTGGTGGATGACGGGTCTTCAGGGCCCTTGACTGTGCCAGTGATGGTCCCTCTAGTCTTCTAGGGATTCTCTCCTTGCTGTTGCGTGTTCTTGCTGTTGCGTGTTCTTTGCATGACTTTGCCTTGTGCACCATATAGGTAGAAGAATCGAAATTTGGTCGTTAACTTGAGTAAGTATAAGCTCTCTGCTGACACTTTCCCCCTCTGGCTTGCAGGAGTGTTTGACTTGCAGAGGTGGGACAGGAGGGCCCAGGAGCACCGCCTGAGCAAGCTTTCCTGCTGGTTGCAGGTGCTCAGCGCCTCTACTTCCGGCCCACAGCAGGTGACTGTTCGGCTCAGTGGTTTGGTTTGGGCTTGCTTTTCCAAATAGTTAAAGCTATGCTTTGTCTTCTTTAGGAATCACCAAGGCAGAGCCGAGCTGCTGAATAGGTGGGTTTGCATAGAGGCTGCTAACCCCCTTGCCCTGTGACTCACCAAGTCCTGCAATTCTGTGGCTGCTTGAGTTTTGGCCAGCGTGTGGCATTAAGTCAGTGCAAGCTGGTCAGAACCCAGCGCCCACGTTCCTGCTTTGGCTGAGGACCCGTGGGTGGGGCTGGTCTTTGCCACCACCGACTTGTGCCCTGCCTTTGCCAGGCGTTGTCCTCTGAGAGAAGAAAGGGTGCAGGGGAGCACCTGAGCCACCATGCCCCAGCTCAGCAGCTGCCCCCACTGCCCTGCGTCTGGGCTTCAGCAGGCTGCTAGCAGCAATCCCCAGCCAGCCCCCTAAGTGTCCCCTGCTAGACGGCAGAAGCCACAGCCAAGGCTTGGCCGAGAGGCCTCGAGACAAGCGTAGCAGCCACTCGGGACCTCTCAGGGTCAGTAAGGAGACAAGTTAGACCTGCTCTTTCCATAAGTGATTTTTCTGAAAAGAAACTGCATGTCATTGGCGGTCAACTTGGGTCAAGCGGAGTGTGTTGGGCTCCAAATTAAAATTGTGCTGCCTCCCAGAGCACCACCTGCTGCCATGACACAGTCCCTTCAGAGAGACGCTGCGGCCCAACAGGCTTGCTGGCAGAGGCACTGACCCTGGGAGAAAGACTGCTATCTTGGGGACAAGGATGTGGCTCAGCCAGGGTACCCTCGCTGATGGGGCAGATTTATTCCCAAAGTTGCTAGTGCTGGGCAGGATTTGAAGGCAGGTCCACGGGGCGTGGGATCCCTTCCACATTCTGGTACCTTAGAGGGCACGGGCGGTTTACAAACATGCTGAGGCCTCAGTGCCCTAGGCACTCCTTGGGACATCCCCATCTTGTCACTCAGGCAGCTGAGTTTTAAAAGCTAGCCTGCCTGGGCACTTGTCACTCCCAGTCCAGTTTGAGGGGAGGGCCTGCTTTGGGCACTATGGAAACTTGAACGTGGTTCTATTACAGGAAAGCCGCCTGGAAGGTATGGAGGCCCGTCTGCAGGGGAGGCAGGCAGCTTGTCTTCTGGCCTCACCCCATGCGGCTCCCCCCAAGGCTGACTCGCCAGGTGCACTGCCGCACCGAGTGTAAAGCTCATAGGAAGCTGACCTGCTGACCAATGAGGTGGCACATGTGCTGAGTACAGGGACCAGAGCAGGCAGGATCCTCACGCCATTGGTGCCCTGGTCTAGGTGGAAGTGAGAAGCACCCGTTCATGGCTGTCACGGCTTCTTTTTGCCCCTGTGACGTGGGCATCCAGTGGTCAGCAGGGGCTCCTGCCGACCTGGACCCGGACATTGTGTTTGTGGAGGCTGTGCCCCAGAGAGATGGGGGTACCCAGGAGCCAAGGCCATGCCCTGAGGCCGGTAGAGCTCTGAGGGCCACAGGAAGAGCCCCCCACACACACACACACACCAGTAGCCAGCAACTCCCAGCAGCGTGGCAGAGCCATCTGTCCCTGCACCCAGCCAGGCACAGGACAGTTAGTGTTTAACTCGGCCTGCCGGCTCTGCCAGGTTTATTGAGAGGGGAGGCAGTCCTTCCTTTGAACAAGTTAATTGGTTAATTGCCAAGCAACTGTCCTCTAGGAGAACAAAGGGCCCCGTCTGGTCCAGCCCTTCCCGCTGAGGTCCCCAGCCGGAAATGGAAGAGCCCCTCCCACCCATATGCACAGGCCCCAGCCCTGCAGGAGCAAGGGGGCCTAGTGAGGAGGACATTTCTTCTCCAGAGGCAGACAGGTTGTGTGTTGCCCCTGCTTCCAGCAAGTATGGAAACAGGCTGCTCCGACCTGGGGACCCAGGGCCCTACTCCACCAGATCCCCCACAAAGGGAGGTCATGGCGGTGACCACACCCTGTGCTCACCGGGCCAGGCCTGGGAGGGCAGCCCAACCCCACCGCAGCCTGATTTATCGAGGGACAAAATCCTAAGGAGTGGGGTCAGGGCAGGAGGCACCCCACAACCTTCAGACCTGGCTGGCTCCTACCCTGCTGGCTATAGG